ATTCTGATTATAACTACCAGGAATTATATCCCGCACTCGGACGTACGGGGAAGAGAGAGAGAGAGAGAGAGAGTCTCACAATATAGGTTAACAAGTTTACGTGAAATGTGTGTGAATATAAATCTTTCTTGTATGAATGTACCCTTTTTGTACGAGTGTGTTGAGTGATGTATCATAAACTATACCTATTATAGTTTATCTAAAATGTATGTAATATGTATGAACTCTTTTATGGAAATGTATTAGTGTTATGAATTTATCAAACTATAGGTTAACAAGTTTACGTGAAATGTGTGTGAATATAAATCTTTCTTGTATGAACGTACCCTTTTTGTACGAGTGTTTTGAGTGATGTATCATAAACCATACCTATTATAGTTTATCTAAAATGTATGTAATATGTATGAACTCTTTTATGGAAATGTATTAGTGTTATGAATTTATCAAACTATACTTTTTATAGTTTAATATACGTGTTCTAAAATGAATGAATAATATTTATTATGAATGACTTAGTTTCAGTTCATGATGATAAACTAACAAAGAAACACATTCAATAATTAGAACTTATGATTATACACTTTGCTCAACATATTACAAAGTGTTATGATATTTACATGCTGTTGGCTAAATTTAGCCATTCTGCACTGTTTTGGAAAAATCATAGAAAATTCATACGAAGTCGAAAAATAGATCCGTAAATTCTGAGAGTTCAAAAAATGTGTCTAGTTTATTCATAATTTTTATCACGATTTTTAATGACCTCCAACTTGGGTGAAAAAGTCCATAATCACAGACTGGTCCGGATTGTTGTTTGAAATGATAGGCAGTTTTGTAAAAATCACCATAAATTGTAGAAAAATCGTATGGAGATGTGCAAGTAGTCATTTTAAAGCTAAAAACTTGAACTATTTTCACCTTGTACAGTTTTGAAAACAAAAATGTTTAAGATTCCCAAAACAGTCCGTGAATGGAGTTGAACTTTTCTGATGAAGGTTGTTAGAAAAATTTAGTTATGTTCTTAGTGTTTTAACTTGTATTCCCCCCCTGAAAACTTGAGAAAACATGATAATGTAGGGGTATGAACTCACCTTGAGTGATTTCAGTAGATAAGTGTTGAAGAAGAGAAGTGTTCAAGCCAAGAACACTTGAAGAATCACTTGAAGATTTAAAGCTCTAACACAAATATGATGGAGTTTGTGTAAGATATCCATGATTTGAGTGGAAATAAGTGAGATAATCATAAGGAGAATGGATTATGCTTACCAAATGTGGAAGAACACTTGATAATCAGCCTTGAATCTCGAGTTTGGTGGAGAAAAAGTTTGAGAGAAAAGTGGTGTTTGATACTTAGTGAAATGAGAGAAAATGAGAGAAATGAGGAGAGAGGATGTTTGTTCCAGCTCTAAAAACGTGGGAATGAGTGTAATTTGAGTGTAAAGGACATTGAAGTGACTTAGGTAAGGTGGGGAGGTGTGGTTAGTCAAAGAGTGGGTGTGGGGTGGTTGCTTGTGACATTGGATAAGGCAAAGTCAACACTCCACCTTTAATAATTCACCCATTTGATTTTTATTATTTAGATAATGATTTTCATCAAAATATGTTTAAATTATGAATATTTAGAGTTTATTATGTTAAAATATAATTTCTGGAGAAAATCCCGCTTTAAAATCACGAAAAACGGGCTTAAAATGTTAAAAATATCAAAAATGGGCTAAAAGTGACAAATTTCCGAATTCTGGCCGAGGTTCGGCCTTCTGATGCTAAAACCGAGAGGAGGGAGGGTAGAAACCGAGAGGGAAGAAGAGGGAGAGTAGGAACCGAGAGGGGAGAAAGGAGAGAGAGGGAACCGAGAGAGGAGAAGAGAGACCGAGAGAAGAGAAGAGACAGAGAGGAGAGAAGAGAGAGCAGAGACCGAGAGGGGAAGAAAGGCGGAATAGAGACAGAGAGGCGGAGAAGCGAACAGAGAGTGAGAAGCGAACAGAGAGTGAGAAGCGACAGAGACCGAGGCTCGGTCTCAGCTATAGGGGCTCGGTCCTCCGGGTTCAGCCAACAGAGGCTCGGTCCGTCCAAGGTGCTTTCGGCCTTAAGGAGCTTCGGCTCCTTGAGAAGGGTTTCGATTCCTAAGGTCCCGTTTTCTCGTTTTTACCCCGTTTTAAGCCGTTTTTGACCCGGTTAAGGGCCGGAATGACCCAAATGATTCTAAAAAGTTACGGGAAACTTTTGAGAGAGATTTGGGAGAGATTTCTCACACTTGGAGAGATTTGGGAGAGATTTGACATTCTTGGAGAGATTTGTCATACACAGAGATATTTGCGAGAGTTTTCACATACTTGGAGAGATTTGGGAGAGATTTGACATTCTTGGAGAGATTTCTCATACAGAGAGATATTTGAGAGAGATTTCACATACTTGGAGAGATTTGGGAGAGATTTGACATTCTTGGAGAGATTTCTCATACAGAGAGATATTTGAGAGAGATTTCACATACTTAGAGGGATTTGGGAGAGATTTGACATTATTGGAGAGATTTCTAATACAGAGAGATATTTGAGAGAGATTTCACATACTTGGAGAGATTTGGGAGAGATTTGACATAGAGAGAGATAGAGTGAAAACGATTGAGAGAGGTTCCATGTGTCACAATTGTGAGTGTCCGGCACCGCAATGCATAGTTCATAAACCCTGTTAAGCCTTATTTAAGGATCTTACACACTCCCGATGAGTATGCAACATTGTTTTATCGGTTTGGCTCGCCACGTACCACAGTTTTAGGTTAAGGAGATCTAGGTGTTCGCACTTTTTGCTTTATGATTTCTCATTAGAATAGAGAGTTATGTAGAAGTTTCATAATGTAAATTATAGTACCCACGGACAAATTGAGTCAAACGGTTTGACTTGTTGACTTCGGTTGACTTTGTCTTGACCGAAATTTGACAGTTGTCACACTATGTGTACCGACTAGATAAAGCTGTATATGGACTGAAGCAAGCTCCCAGGGCCTGGTATGAGACACTGACATCGTATCTTCTTGAAAATGGCTACAGAAGAGGAGCAATTGACAATACTCTCTTCATCAAACAGAAAGGCTTAGAAATGATTCTTGTTCAAATCTATGTCGATGACATCATCTTTGGATCTCCAAATGAGAAGTTGAGCAAAGAATTCGCTGAGATCATGTCTCAAAGGTTCAAAATGAGCATGATGGGGAAGCTGACTTTCTTCTTAGGTCTTGAGGTTCAGCAACAAAAATGAGGTATTTCAATTTGTCAAAGTAAACATATTGCTGACATGCTAGTTAAGTACTCTCTCAGCGACTGCAAACCAACTTCTACTCCGGTGTCTAAGACTGATAAGCTACATGTTGATCCCACCGGCACTGATATTAAGCACTCTCTTTATCGAGGAATGATTGGATCTCTTCTCTACCTCACTGCAAGCCGCCCTGATATCATGTTTGTAACCATTCTCTGTGTTAGATTCCAAGCTAATCCCAAGGAGTCTCATCTCATTGCAATCAAACGCATCTTTCGATGCTTAAAGGCCACTCAAATCTTGGAACTATGGTACCCTCGTGACTCAGTGCTTGAACTCTTTGGATACACTGATTCCGACTATGCAGGATGCAACTTAGACAAGAAGAGCACGTCAGGTGGATGTCATTTCCTTGGAAATTGACTAATCAGTTGGTCCATCAAGAAACAAACCTCAGTAGTTATTTCCACTGCAGAAGTTGAGTATGTTGCATCTGGGAGATGTTGTGCTCAAATCTTATGGATTCAAAATCAACTTTTAGACTATGGGCTTAAATTCACAAAGAATCCTATATACTGTGATAACACCAGTGCCATTCAGATCATACAGAATCCTGTTCAGCACTTAAAGACAAAGCATATAGAGATCATACATCACTTCATCAGAGACAATGTTGAGAAGGGCAAGGTTGTTTTAACACATGTCAAGACTTCCGATCAACTAGCTGATGTTTTCACCAAGGCCCTGGATACTCAAACTAATGCTCACATCATTGGCGAACTTGGAATGATCACTCTCGATTGAAAAATGTTTTACTAATGTTTGCTATTGTCTTATAAACTAATGTTTTTTTTGTGCTGATGATGATGCGCTGATGATGTTTAGCATGCTGAGTACATTGTATGATTTCTTATCTCTCTCTTCTACAAATATTCTAAACTAAAGTTGAATGATTCACTGTATTAAACCATACACTGATAACAACTTGAAACTCTTTGCCGATGGTTAGACAAAACACCAAGTTCTATCACACGCAACTATCCTCTCTTACCAATATTACATTGATTCTGTGATTCGGTGTGACAAAACACATACTGATGAGAATCTAAATGTCTTTGCCGATGGTTAGACAAAACACCAAGTTCTATCACACGCAACTATCCCCTCTTACCAATCTTACACTGATTCTGTGATTCAGCGTGACAAAACACATGCTGATGAGAATCTAACAGTCTTTGCCGATGGTTAGACCAAAACACCAAGGTCTATCACACGCAACAATCCTCTCTTCACCTTCTTCTCACTTAGTGTCTAACGATTCAGTAAGAAATAACACTCACTAATAAAGACTCGACACTCTGTGCTGATGGTTAGATAATTAAACCAATATCTATCACATGCACCAATCACCTTGCTAACCCTAAACAAGCAAGTTGTACCTTGAATTGACGATAAAGTATCTTTCAGCATGTAACTTTCCATGATAATAATCTCAGCGCTTCCGCAGTCACTGATTGTCGTTTCCTCTTCAGTACAACGACTCTTTTTACCCAACGGCTATTTTTTTGATTTGACAGTCTGTCAAGATACGCATTTATTTTCGATAAAGATAATCATTACCTTTTTTAACCATTTCATCCCCTATTTAAACCTTTTCATCTCTTCCCCAAACCTTTTCACCTTCCTCCAAACTTCTCTCTATATTATAAAAAAAAGGGAAAACCCTAGAATCCTAAATTTCTTCAATGGCGGCATCACTGTTCACTTTCTCCTCCACTTCAAGAAGAGTCGTCCCAGCTCCAAACACTCCTCCTCTTCCCATATACATCAAAGCCACAAATGTCGTTTTCAACCCTGATATACTAGATGTTCATCGCGGCCTCGGACTTGATGATTTTGTCAATTTCTTAGTCTCTTGCCGACTTCGATACGCCATCAGTGAGGTTCCATCAGAGTTCTTTCCCGAACAAGTATGTGAGTTCTACTACACTGCAACGGTTAATGATGAAAACAGTGTCATCTCCAGGACTATTGGGCGTGGCCGACGCTCCGTTTTTATCACCGCTGATCTCCTCAGTGTTGCGCTCAGGTTACCAATCGTTGAACCATTCTCTGAGCTTCCAACTATTGAACGTTGTCGACGCCTCTTTGATCAACTGGGCTATGATCACTCAAAGGCTGGTGCTCGATCAGCTCTCATTCTGCATCAATGTATGACTCCAAGATGGAAGGTCTTCACTAGGGCTCTATGCAAATGTGTGTATCACAAATCTCGCAATGGTGATCAACTGAGTACTTATGAGCAACAATTTGTCTGTTCCCTTCTCAACAAATGTCTTGATTATGGGGCTTTCTTCTTTGATCAGCTTGTCCAACTTCTTTGTGCTAATGTACACGCTGATCATGCCCCCTTTCCACGCTGGATTGCTCTTGTCCTAGATAAAATTTTCGCTGAAGCCTACTACTCCCACTCTGGAAACCCCATCCAATGCCCACGCATGTCAATGCGAATGTATCAGGATGATCCAATGGAAAATGACATCGACATCTCTGATCGAATGAGAGAATGGATCGCAAATCCATATACTGTTCCTTCACTAACCGTTGATACTGATGACGGAGCTGATGGTAACAACAAAGATCATGCTGATCAACAAGCTAAAACGCAGGACAATGGTCATCTCTCCCCTCAACTTTCTCATCATACTCTTTCTGTCACTGAGAGGGTTCACTCAGCTCAAGGGGAGCAACCATCTCAGGGGGAGCAACCTTCTTCGGGGGAGAAACATCACTCACAAGAAGTTCCAGGTACTCAATTCCTTCATATACCGGCCTCATCATTTAATGAGCTTCTTACACTGACTCGGGACATGAGTCAGCATCTTCTACGAATTGAGGCCGATGTTCACCAACTGAAGGGAGTTCCTTTGCCAACTCCTTCCCCTGGCCCACAACATGATGATGATCAAAAAGGGGGAGAAACTGATGATGATCAAGAAGAGGGAGAAATTGAATCTGTTGAGCTCGGATCTGAGGATAACATTTTAAACCAGACCGAGCCACCACAGCCTGTGCACGAGTCTGATAGACCAGCAGATACTGAAAAGCTTGCTGAAAATAGTGAGCATGATGATGAGGATGAACATGATGATGAACGTCAAATACTGGACATGAACTTCATTAATCCTCATGTGCCAGTTCAAGAAGAAGCCTCAGATGATAATGAAGATGATCATGATGATGAGTGTCAAATGCTAGATATGAACTTCATTGATCCCATTGTTCCAGTTCAAGGAGAAGACTCAGATGTAGCTAGCGAGGATATTCAACCTCTATCTCGCAAGCGCAAGGCAGCAGATACTGAATTGGCTATTTCACATACTGATACTTTTCTTCCTAGCAAGAAACCTAAGTCCATCGTCAGTATATCCAATTTAGCAGCTGAATGGAACATGCCTCCTGATTAAGTTAAGAAAATTCTTGATGAAGCCAATAAAGCTCAGCTTCTAAAGAATATTGCTCAAGCTGATGAATCTCTCATTCAGCATAAACTTCAGGCCAAAGGATCCTTTGAAGCTCGGATGCAAAAGTTCTTAGAATATCAGTCCAAATCCAAATCTTCACAGCCAAGTCAAGGACTGAAAATGTTCTCGACAGGATTGATCGCAAGAGGTTTCAAGATATTCTTAAATGACGAGTGAGCAGTGATAAGATCATCAAAGTTAAAGCTTCTAAACCTCGTAACGAGAAAATTCTTACTTTGCTGATCACTCGTCAAGGTCTTCAACATCCATACACTGAAGTTGTCAAGAGGGATGAGCTGATCAGATACGAATATTCTGAATGGATGGAATTGCTCGAATTAGCATCCAAGCAAACTTCGGCTCTCTCTTCAGAACTGACCTGTGCTCTCTATTTACTGATCAAGAAAGTTCAGCGTTTGGATGTTGTTCCTACGCAGCGTCCTCAGCAGCAAGGCCAAAGTTCCTCAGTTCCAAGAATCAGAAGAACCAGATTTCAAGTTGATAGTGAAGATGTATTGGTTCTAAATTTTGGTGCTAAAGGAATAAGCAACTCTCTTCCTATCGGTGTTGAGCCGGTTCAACATAAGTTCATCTCTGTTCCTGAACATGGAATGTTTTATCTTGATAAAAACAGAAGAATGTGTTTTCAGCGCACCACAGAAATTCCAAGAGCTCTAACAGCACATCTTGTTGGCTTAAGACAAATGTGCATGAGTCATCAAGATCTCTCTGGAGAGTTTCACATACTGATTGCTATGGAGTTACTGAATAGAAGACAGGAGCTGCTAGATAGTCCTTACTGGCCTGTGAAAGTAGAAGCTGAAGCTGAGTATGAAGAATTTTTGTCCAGAGGTGTTCTTGTATAGCTGTTGTTTTGAACATCATCATATTGGGGGAGATTGTAAGGTCGAACATTATAATATGATGATGTTTGAAACTAATCACTCAACATCAGCACGTAATCCATCGTCAGCATACAAGTTGTTCAGTGTATATCTTTTTAATGTAACAGATTTAGTATTTATCTTGTTTCCATAGTTATCATATATTAGTTAGCTGGAACATCCCTGATTTGTAGGGGTTGTCTATAATAGTTCTATATAGTCTTTTGTACGGGTTTGTAAAGAAGTTGTCTTTCACAAACCCTAATAGCCGCTTTGTGCGAACAATAATCTCTTTGTGAGATTATCATTCTTAGTGAAAGTTCTTTGTGATACTTCATTGTTCTGTTCTTATTAATAGTCATTGTTTGATAAATCGATTGATCTAAGGTCCTTTCAACCACCTATACCTAAGTGACCACCTATAGGGCAACTGTGGAATTCTTCTAACCTGCAAAATGCCTTTGTCGTCAATAACATGCCCCAAGTAGTCAATTAATGTGCTTCAAAAACTATTCTTTTTCTGTTTAACAACTAACTAGTGAACGTGTAAGAGTTGCAAGACTTCACTCAACAATGAAAGGTGGACACCTCAAGTGCTGCTATACACGAGAATATTATTAAAGAATACTATGACTCCCTTTTGTAATAGAGGTAGAAAAATGTTATTCATTAGAGCGTGGAATGTCGTTGGAGTGTTGGTTAGGATGAAAGGCATAACCAAGAGCTCATTGTGACGATTGTGAGTTCTAAATGCAGTTTTTTTTATATCTAATTCGCGTAGTCATACTTGGTAAAAGTCGAACTTCAATTTAATTTTGGAAAAAAACAACTGCCATGAAGCTCATCTAGGAGTTCTTCTACGATGGGTATGGGGTATTTATCCAAAATAGTAACACGATACAGAGCCCGATAATCAATGCAAAGACGCCAGGTCGAGACTTTTTTCTTGACAAGGATGACCAGGATAGAAAAAGCACTCTGGCTTGGTCGGATGATTTCTTACTCCAGCATATCAGCAATTTGTCGTTGAATCTTGTCCTTGTGCACATAGGGATAATGGTAGGGACGGACACAAATAGGTCCATGTCCTTCCATATGATTGATTGAATTCTTGATAGAGCGGGATGGTCGTAATCCTCAGGGAGATTGAAAGATTGAGGAAAACTGGGAAATGAGAGCGTTCAACTATTTTTGTTGGTCGACAGTGAGCAGGGAAGGAACAGGTGGGGCGGAGGCTTCTGATTGTTCAACAAGACAAGCTTGGAGATAGGAGAGTTCTTGACCACCCGAGGGCATTCCTTGTAGTTTAACCAAGGAGGATCCATCCCAAAATTGGATACATCTGGTGAGCCAATTGCAGAGGACATCACAGAGAGTTCCCATCCAGGCAATGCCCAAGATAACATCGAGATTTGTCACACCATTGAACCAGACGACGGAAACGTCCGAGGGCTCACGTGACTAAATTTGAATATCATCACAATGAATACACATGAATCATAACATAAACATCACCATGCATAAATATATTACAACTGACTTTGTTCACATAAAGTACATTGTTTTATCATTACAAGCCATAACATAAATTGTTTGATAGTTTTCAAAAACACAACACTCTAACATAACTTGGTACTACTCCTCAGCTTACCTGTTACCTGAGAATACAAGTTATTTTGAAAACGGTCAACATATGGAATGTTGGTAAGTTCATAAGCAGGTTTGATATGAAAATGTTTTGTGTAGTTTGTAAGAAAACAACCCAGAAAATCCGATATTTTTTGAAAAGACCATTGTTTGTATAAAAGTGTGAAGATCCGTAAATATATGCATGATGATTTCAAAACATGTATAGTTGAAAAACTTCATATTACAAGTACCCGTGAAAAATGTTGAACTTCCCTGGAAAACCCGATGTTTTCCGAAAATAAACAAAATATCGTATAACTGTTCATATTGTTATCCCAACCTTGAATGATTTTGATTTATCTTGATTACTTGATTAGTATTGGATTTATTTATGTGAGTCGTTATAACCATGCATGATAATGGCTAGTTCGTCTGTCTTGGCACTCTGGTGAACGCCGGAATTGATCTTAAGATTTTATCACCCTAGACTGGCTGAGTCTAACTGTAGTGAATAGCTGAGGTGTGGGGGAGTCACCCCCGTATAGATAGATCTATACACAAACTCTAGCTATCCCTCCAGGGGATTTTGATTATAACTACATACTACGACCGACACACGTTGGTGCCACCCGTTATTACTCACTAAATCCCATTTGACTTTGATTGCTATTGATTATCGACCCGTATTTGTTTACGTGGATTGACAATAGGCCTAATAAATGAGGAGAAGAGTGTGACAACCCGAAATTTCCATTCTTTTTAACTCCGCGGTCAAGCACTTAAAAAATAAGCCAAATTAATCCCAAAACATTTTTGGCCGGATCTAAGCCCGTTCGAGTATTTAACTTTTATATTCGTCAAGCGAGAAAAAATATGGAAGGATAATTTAGAGTTTGCCGTATATCGTAAGTCATGAAACTCCAAAAGTTGGAGTTTACAGATGTAAACATGGAGTTTACGACCATAAACCCCAAAAGGTATAAATATGACACTTAGTCATTTTATGCTTATTTTTCACTTCCCACTCCAAGAACACCAAGAAATCCTCTCAAGTATCATATCATTTTTCCGTCAAATCCGCCAAAATGTAAGTGTTTTCTTGCTAGATTCGTTCATATAACACTTTATCTAGTTTTTATACTCGATTTCATCCATGAAATCTTGTCTTTTTCTTAGATCTTCAAGTGTTCATCAAGAACACCAAGAACACACTAGTGTTTGTAACAACGTAAAATTTTCAAAATAATTTATCATTTCTTTAAAACATAATTTTGTTCAAGACAAACCATAAAATCCAATGTAACATAGTTATAATACAAAACATGTCAAATCCCAAGATCAAAGATATCCAAATCCGCCTGGGTGTGTGTGTACGAGTCATGTCGGCGCCTTCCAACGGTCCTCGCTAGTACTTGAAACACATAACACAGCAGTTGTAAGCATAAATACTTAGTGAGTTCCCCAATATATCACTTACACACATACGGCCTTCTAGGCCATGACCTTCCGGTCCATATGTTTCAGGGGACTTCCGTCCTAACCTGGTAAACCTTCCGGTCCTACCCGTGTCGACCTTCCGGTCTACATCATAATACCTTCCAGCCCATATCATAATGCCTTCTGGCCCATATCAAGCATAGCATACATAACATATACAAAACAGGAAACTAATAGCATACAATGCATATATCTTATAGCATACCAAACCTTCCGGTCACACATAGGTACCCTTCCAGGTACAGTATAGTGAGAAGACTCACCTCGTATGATCTCTAGCGTCTCACGTGCTCGATATCTCTGAATCTCGCAACAACGACCTAGCCTCGCCTAATCACATCAAGTAATTATTCCAAATCATTAACGGCTCTCAAGGCTATACTATATTCCTTTCTACAATTCCACAGAAGGGTAAAAGACCATTTTACCCCTCCCTGACTCAAAGGTCCACATGTTGACTAAAACCCTAAAAGTCAACAAAAGTCAACAGCAAGCAGTACGCGGGGCGTACCCTTGCACTCCAGAAATGGGGAACATGACCCTTTACGCGGCGCGTACTGGGATTACGCCCAACGTAAATCCCAATTTCATACTTTCTTCATTTTAGTGTCTTAATCGGTTAAGACTTGCATCCAAACTTCAGATCTGACTCCTTTAATATGACTTAATCTATAAAGTCGAAACCTTTAAGCCTTTGCATGGCTGTAAAGGTCACTTTATTCTCAAAACACCTTTCCTTTTTCCATAATGAGACTATAACTCATGCATGACACAAGATCCACGTCCAACACTGGATTTTTATGAATCCTCAACACAATATACACTAGAAAAGGTCAGATCTAAGCTTATGGAGACTCTTTGCACACAAAGTCTCCAACTTTGAACCAAAAAACCTAGAAATGGTCCAAAAAGCAAAACTTACGAAGAACAAGG